GCCGTGCGCTTCCTTATTTCAATATCAGTATCATTTCCCTATTCCTTTTTCCTACCAAATTCTCTCCTTTGAATGAAACATAAGAATTTGCTGAAGTTTCCGCTTGTTTCTCGGGCAAAAACCCCACTTCTCCACCTGTTTTTGGGACGAATCCCTTAAAAAGGCTAAGTGGAAGGCGACTTGACCAACAGCTAATACTACAAGACTACAGTGCGATTTAACAACCTAACGAGACAGGCTAAAGGCTGTCCAGTATGATATTAGTGTCCAGAACTTGGTTTTTTTTGCACTCTGTGCCGCCCAACACTAAAAACTGAAGAAGTTGCGCAAGTACTAAACAGGTTGCAGTTCGCTGTTATACAGGGCTTCGAGAGAGATAAGAAATATTCCAGCTTTTGCGAGTCTCTACAAAATGGTAGATTATTTTGGACTTACAGCAAGGTATCTAATCCAATACCTACAAAGCTTACCACATATTAGCATTAGTATACATCTATACGTCACAGGTATTTCCCCACAATCTACGAGAAGATGCACCGGTAGGCCCTGAAGGCATTCTCTAGAATATCCATCTTATCACGAAAACAGGGTGATCTATACAAATTGACCGGCACCTTGCGGAACAGAAAGCAGCAAGCGCCAACAAAAGCGCCCATTTCGTTGAGCCCAGAGTTTGAGGATCAAAGTGTAACTCCAAGTACAAGGTCAGTCCAAATGTCTCTATTATTAAACTGGTTGAGAACCTCCAAACAGCTGTTCAGTATCACACAGATTTTCTTATCAACGTGCAGTCAGCGGGATATAATTCTTCGGGGTACTTAACGATATTAGGTTGACAAGAGAATGTCTGACAATTTTTGCCTGTTACGTAATTCAAAAAGAGGTTTTACAGTTATAAATCAACCTCACTTGTTCTTTTCTTTCCACTGATCGAATTGCGCTTTGTAATCACGGTATTGCTTCTCCAACTCTTCCTCTGCCGATGACTACAAATGATGCCTTTTGATATCCGTATAGTTCACAAATTTGCAATAAATCAAGAATTTCACGATGATACTGAGCATGAAACCAAAAAACCTTACGATCATAAAAACAATAACCCTTCCACCGACATAGAGGATTCACTGGAAATGATTTAAGCAAAACTCTTTTCCCATACCTTCTTTGTAGACGATGTGGACATCCTCGACTAGAAATAAAACGAGAAAATTCACATAAATCTCTCCACGCCAAGAAATTCTTTCTGGGCGACGATGCTTCAGCCGACGAATAAATAATTCTAAACCGAGCCGCTGTCGCCACGCCCACCAAAGTGTGCGGCCTCGTACAGCTCGTGCTTTGCTGTAGCGTTCCTCGCTATCAGTGTGCCCTCTGTGTTTTGAAGATATCGACTGCCCTTAGATTATTTATTTCCCATGAGCCCACCTAGGAACCAGTTGTGTCGTGATTCTTCTGTATTTACTATTTGTTTAGTTCTAGAACCTCGTAGCGTTACTATTCACGCTTTAGGATGTACAAAGCGGGCCATTCAGCTGTCTCACGAACTGCACTTCCTTCCATTCAACATAAACAACGATCTACGTACAGTTATCAACAACGTCCACAAGTACTGCAAAAACCCAGCGAAAAGCGTCAAAGTATGTCGTTTTGTCCATTTTAGCGCACCACACAGATAAGCCACTAGGTGTAGGGTGGAATTCTTTAAAAAACTACTGTACCTGTTTTCGTCGCGGGACCCTCTTATACCGAATAGCCAGCTTCTCACTGTAGCAGGCTCGTTTTCTTTAATGAACATGCATTGATTGGGATGCTCATTGAAGCTTTTCTAGTGATGATAAGGGGAAGTGTACTGCCATGCTCAAGGCTGAGCAGCTGTTGCATGTAATTGAGATTTACATTGCGAAACAGCAGCACTTCCACCAGGTAGCCATACTTCATAGGAAATAGGGGAACTTCTCGATCTGCTGGAAGTCCACATGACCGTCTTCACAAGTCGTGACTCAGGAAATTCGCCGACTTGAGAGAATCGGCGATTTGGCGTTTGGAGATATCGCCGAATCTCCGCGTTCGCGATCAGGGCCGATCGATGCCTGTCCGTTCCTTTGCTACGCTCGGAAACGCCGACTCTCCAGAATCCTCGCTCAGTCTCTACAGTCGCCAAGTCCGTACCTATACTTCCTCCCAGTCTCTCCTTTCACCGAGGCCCTTCGATGGCGAAGCATGAACATGGCCTAAAGGCCTAGGAGGTTCATTCGACCGCTTGGTCGCGAATGTGACATCAATCTTCAGCGCTAGCGCCAAATGACGCCATGGCATCTGTTGGCCTCGTTGGCAAACATTTATGTGCTCTGGTCGCGAACAGAGCATTCAGTTATGTTCGAGGTGTTAATTTTCACCAATCGACTCAGGCGTGTGTCTGGGCTAGAGCTTGATGTTGCTGGCTGCCAAAAGACGTTGATGCCCAGAGGAACGTCGTATGTTCATGGCCCTGTATAACTGATTTTAGAGCTAACGCAGTTCTGGCGGGAGGGAAGAGAGAGGGAGAGAGGTTCTGTGCTCTGGTTATTTGGAGCCATTGTGGGGAATGCAGCTAGATGCGCTGCCCTTCTCCTGAGCTACATTAGCATTCAATTTTCACGAGATTCTTGCGAATTTGGTGGGGAAAGTCATGGTGTTCAGCTGCGCCTCTAGCGCCACAAAGGGATATCACATTTGTGGTTCGGTCAAGGATCTAACGACAAATTAATTCGGAATTATAGATGAATCAGGATGCTACCCTAGACGGGTGTCCCTTGGAACCTCTTAGTGCTTATGTGACCTAGAGGTCGCAGTCATGCTACACGACGATTTCGAATGAATGACAAAACTGCGAGTAGAAGAAAGTTTCAGTATAGATTTGGAGAAATGACGAATCCGTGGGGGTGTTAGAAATGCGGAACCTGCAGAAATGCCGAAATGGCAGGCCAAAGATTTGATAGGGAAGGATCGCTTAGCCCCCTTCCCCCCTGTCTTCCGGCATTTCTGCAAATTCAGCATTTTTGCAATTCCGCAGTTTTGTCATTTCTTCGAAGTCTACGAACGCGGCTTCAGACACACGAACGTGTGATAGAGTGACCGTCACCATTATGGTTGTTCACGGTACGCTGAGGCGGTCTTGGAAGTAGTGCGCAACAGTTTGGGATTTTTGGCTGAACGAAGCTCTAGCTCTCTTGGGAAAGTGGTATAGCGACGCTAGAACAAATCTTCATTATCCACACGTGGAAATGAGAATACAAAATTATTCGCCCCCAAGTGACCTACTTTCTTAGTCCGTTTGTACAAGTAGCTGATGTCAGATGTATCTTTTTAGTTTCTTCGAAGAAGGATCGTGACCAACTCCTGCTGCAGACTGAGATGTGAGTTCCTTCTCGTTGAAGTTATGAAGTGCTACCAGGAATGTTAAAACACTTATCGCAGTTCTGCAAAAACACGTTCCAACTTCTTAAAGGGTCAAAAAATATTAGGCCAAGCTTGCACTTTTATCAAATCTCTAACCTCTAGTGGTGATAAGGAATAAATGTTGAGTAGCACGGA